CGAACTGATTTTATTTGTAATGTGAGGATGGAATTGAAAATAATGTATAAAAATTAATTAAATACCAAAACTAATTTTCTTTATTTGATAATTTTTCTCGCTCTCAAACCATTTTTGTTTTATTTTGGAGTTTCAAGGATGTAACCAATGAAAAATTGTTAAAATAATGCAGCTAACCTGCATTTTCAGATTTAGTTTGTTTAGAAATATTATATCCAATATACATAAAAATACTTGTATAATATAATAATCACTTGGCCATCCATCGCCTCATAACATTGATTTTAGTACTTTAGCGGAAGCACTAAGTGATGATATCAAATTTCTAATGAATAATGATAAATAGTGAAATCACTTGGCATTGAATGTTTGGCAAATATTAGAAAGCACTTCGATTACTATATGAAGAATTTACTATCCACACAAGAAACAATTGGCCAAATGCACACACAGAAAATACGTGCACACATAAGTATGTATGAAGCAACCACTGCCATGATCCCGTAAATGCACCGTGACCAGGGAAGAAGTGAAACCGATACGAATTTACCATTTATACCCGCAAAATTGAAGACACGCCGACACCCTATAGGAAAATGTGAAGTTAAGTTTCAACAAGTGCATAATTTTGACAAGTTAAAGATCAGAATAATGAAATAAAACAGAATATTAAATTGTTAAAACAATAGTGTGAAAAGTGGGCAGCGCTGTCCATTAAAATTATGTTTTATCAATTTTCAAAATTTTAGCATAATTAAATAAAAATCATATAAATCATGTACCTTTATAGGCACTGTCACGCATCAACATTGATATTATTGGTGAACAAGACAGTTTGATTTTGACTATATTTAGAAGAATCAATTTATTGTTTTATAGTATATCTATTATTTATTATATTTTATACTATTATATTTGACAGTGATATATCTAAAATATTTTATTTACAAATGAATTAAACTCGACATATATTATAACATTTTTATACATACTGAAAAGGGTATATTAAATTTATCAAAGGAAACATATAAGAACCTAAAAGTTATATTTATTACTGATCACTATGAGCTGAAGTAAATATGTACATATCGGAACCGCCGTTATTGCATCACTATATCATATAATGACTGAACAAAAATCAATTTCTGTAAGGAAACCTCTTTTTGACAAGATATCTTCATAAATTTGTCGTGTATTGTCCAAGTTAACAATACAATCTAAACTTTTGAAATTTTTGATCGGACCACTATAAGCATATAAGTGCTGCCACAAACTGACCGTTTAAGATTTCTGTATGGACTTTTTTTTGTAAGCTTTATAGCTTCGGTGCACAAAGCTGAAGTTTTTCTTGTTAATTATATTAATTTATTTAAATTTTACGATATTCATAAATATATTTTATTGTTATTAGAAATTTTACTGAAAAATTCTGAATGTCTTCATTTTGAAATTATCATTAGTAATTTCCTACAAGTTTGCACTCAGTTTTCTTCCAGTAGATAATTTATGAAAAAGGCGATTCATCATATCTTAATAGAATTTTAAAGCACAAGTAAAGATTTAAGTAACTCTATAAACAAAAATAAAACCTACAAAATAAGTTATATCATTTTATACAACAAAATATATGTTATGTATAGTATGGATTATACCGTATGCTAAAATCTTTTGATTGAACTTTGATTTCTAATCTCACACTTAAACAAAGATATGGACTTAAATGAGGTATTAAATAACACAAGCCATAGATGCAGTAATTCAATGCTGCTAAGGAGGACGGTGAAAGTCCTTCATCTGCTGAGACTTTATTTGGTCACGTGTCACTGCATTGTTTGGTTTATTCGCATGAACACAATTACACCTCAAAACCATTTCACGTATATACATACATACATTGGATATAATAGGTTATTTAGTATATAACAACAATAATGGCACAATCATTTGCTGACTATTCGACCGGCTGCAATATCAACCCTGTCGCTGTGTCATTTATTGCTAATTACTCAAGTATTATTGAGAGTTACTCAAATGTAAATAAATATGTTTCTTTTAACGAGGTTACGTTGTCACATTCACGTTAGCAGGTCACGGCGTCCTAGCGATTTTAGCATTTTCTGTGATGCTTAAAGAATCAACAAATTCTATTCACAAGAGTGTAAATAATTTTCGCTTGCGGGCAAAAGTCACATTACTTACTCATGAGTATAACCGCAAAAGAGCCAGCTGGAATACACAAATGAATGTTAACGGGATATTAAAGGACATAGCGTATGTTAAAGGTAAAGGATATTGCGATATATCCCTGTACAAACAAATCTATGTATATAATGGTGGGTCAAAAAAACGAAGAAAATTCATATTTCATAACTGTTTAAAATTTCTCGTTTCATAGAGTTTGTTGGAATGAATGTCTACAAAATGGTTTCTTACGGATTTTCGTAAACTAACTGTTTAAATATACTAACGGTTGTAGAATTTTCCATCTGATAATAAGAAAACAATAGAAAACCGTTAAATGGTGACTCTCCTTACATAAGAGCTTTTACTTGGGACCCTTTCTTAGAGGTGTCTATCCACATGATTTTGACCTACTCTAATATATATGGTATATGATATAAGTATATAATAAATCTCATTTATAATCTCCGCCCTTGCAAGTGTGTAATCAAGGATAACTCATTAAAAATGTGTGTTTAGCCAACATATTGCATTTTACGTACGATTTCATTTTAAGGATCTTATTTATTTTATTTGATATCTTATATACAAGTATTATGTATTAGAATAAATTTAATAAAATAATGATATACACATGTACATATATATACATTTATATTTTATTAACCGTTTATAAAATTTTATATAAATACTAATACAAATTATTGGCGTAGTTGTGGCCTAAATCGAACAGAAAATTCTTATATTATAAAAGCTCAATAACGCAATAACACTCACTTATACGCAAACTTACTCAATGGTGGGAGTAAAATAGCGACGGCTATTTTCACTCAGTAAACCATTTTATCATTTATTCTCACCCAATCACGTGTCCTATGAACTTAAATATGTTTTTCAAGAGATATTTTGATTAACACAAAAATTCTCTATTCCGAAACGAACCTTTCACAGGTGCATTAAATAAAGGGTATAAAAGATCTTGATTTTAACGGTCAGTTTGTATGAGCTATATGAATTTGATAGAGGTTTGTCGCAATGTGCACTTCAGCATTCAAGTCTGATATGTTATATAATTGTCGGTACAAGTAACATATCTAACATTATGATTTACAGGTGTTTATTTTGAGAACATATTCTCTTTAAGTATACTATATTATTTTACAAAATTCATATTTATTGAATTATTAGTAAACTGATAAAATATACATTAGTTAGTATGAAATATACGTGATAACATGATGTGAACCGATGGTTCCTAAGAACCATTTCAATTTTATTTCAAAATTTGAATTTAAATTTGGAAAACATCAAATTAAATTGTAATAACTGAAGATTCCAAATTTTCAACACTAGTTAATAACTATCCTTGAAAGTACAAAATTTTCCTTGAAATTATTTTTCGATGCACTCTTACTCAAGTCAAATGTAATTACTACAAAGCTCACACACAACAATGTCACGTGGTATAATATTTAAAAATGCATGTGTATACATGAATCTTTACAAAATAACGGTTGGTTCTTGGAGAAACCACCAGCATTTAAGGGTTAAACAATACATTTTCAAAACCCTTCAAAATCTGACAAACAATAAAAATTTTTAATCACTTTCACCAAAGTGAAAGCTGTGGTTAAGCTGAAATATGTTCATATATACATCTGATCAAATATGACTCGGACTGGCTCTCTTCACCCATACGGAATCGATATCATTTTTTCCTAGATTAGTACAGTCTTTCTAATGTTTGTTGTTTCTTAAAAATCCGCTTCGGGAATGTGCAATGACGCTATTAAACTGGCATTGTTACCATTCCATGATCAGATATGTATGTACATACCTACTTCCACCAAGATGTTCAAATTTCTTTCCATTATTTGCCGCAATCTAATGTGCCCCAATTAGTCGTGCAGCTTGTCTAATTTGACGATACAAAGCACTGGGTAAAATTGACATCTTTTAATTATGTTTGTATGATGTATGTATCTATACATTTGTATATGTATTTAACGCGTAAATACTGCAGGTCACAATTTCTTAATTCACATATTTGAGAACCACAAACAAATGCAAGTAGTCACTCAATAGCAATCAATAACAATATGTGAGCTCGCCTATATTGGATGTTAACGGCAATAATCGCACTCATAAAATCCTTGAGGTAGCGCAATGATGCTCGCTCTAAGCCAATCGCGGTCAACCAACACTACCGCTACACACGACAAAAGTGTACCAACCACAGCCGAACAGTGCGAAGATGTCAGAGACGCTGTGGGCGCATGAGCGCTCAAACAGCAAACGAATCAGAAATTGAGTTGGAAAAGCGCTCAAAGTGGGGCTGCTGAGATGCTTGAGATGATCGGAGTGTGCGTTTCAATGTGTGTATGTGATGTATGTAAATGTAAGTATGTGGATTATAAATAAAAATAGAATAATACACAGATTTACCATAGAGACGCCACTATTGTGGTACAACAACAGCGGCATTGCTTAGGGTCACTCGGCGGAAAAACACTCAGGTGCCACATAAACGGAGGTGGCTGAGTGCTGGTGCTCTTGCTCTGCTGCGGGCGACCTGTCTATGCTACCAAGTGCGATCGAAGTATTTAAAATCTAACTGTGCGTGGTGAGTTTGTTCATGGTGTCGCATGAGCAGACGTTAACGGACGTGTCAAAGGTCGCGAGGAAGCAATAATCCAATAATAATAGTTCACAGAGTGGTTGTTGATAAATATTGAGTTAAAGAGTTTGCAAACGATAAATTTAACAAATAAAAATTTAATAAATATAAAAGCAAGCAATTTTATTGAAATGGTTGTGGAATGTTAACGAATATGGAGAAGTGGCCATAGTGTTAATGGCGGAGGTGTATTAGTGAGCCTTAGTAAGGCGGCGCTCCAACGCCTTTCTCCATAAATGATATTTTAACGCGCAACAACAATACTTAAATGCACACAACACAACAGCTGCGGCGGCACTCTCCGACACGGAAATGTCGTTTAACGCGAAGCAGCAGTCGCCACAGATTTTCGTCAAAATCAGGCGTGAATTGAAAGACGGTTTGAAAACGTCTGCTTCGTGTTGCCATATCGGCGCGAGTGAATTTAATAACAGTAAATTAAGTGCTGCTTTAGAAAACGGCGCCTGCGCCAAGCCCTCCAACAATTCGAGCCCGATCTGGAAATGCGCACGCGGTGGCAAAGTCTCGGCATCATCGGCGGCGGCCGCGGACAGGCGGCGCACAAAGCGCAATTGTGAAAATAACGATTTTATGCCCTACTATATGGCCACTTTGGATAATAACAATCACATGATTCCAGCTAGCGCGAGATTCGTTATATCGGTACGGCGGGTTTGGTGGCGAACGCGATTGTCCCATTGACATGCGACGTTGCAGCAATAATGAATCAGGTAAGTTGGCGTAAAGTTTTAAAAGCTTTGTAATAGGACAATGCATTAGCGCAAACGAAACACTGTGGCGCATTGTTAGACGCAACTAGAACACGTGTTGGTGAAAAATTTTAAAACTAGCACAAACTAATTTTCAGCAAGTAATATGCATGTATTTACTACAACTTTGGCTTTTCTTATTTTGTTACTTAGACTCTGAGTCTTCACCGCCACCGTCAATGTTGTCGCTTTATGGTGGCGCCTGCGCATTCCGCCAGAATAGCTGCATGGAAGCACTTCACCTACGTGCATGACACAGACGCGCTCAACGGTTCGCTGAGCCGTAAGAAGCGTTCAGTGCCGCTTTCAGTCACGCGCAAGTATTTGAGCTAGGACGTCGTTTCGCCAACAGCGTTATCTCGGAACGTGCTGAAATGGCCAAAAATTCGTTTGACCGACACAGGTGAAGATTTGGTTCCAAATCGCCGTTACAAGACGAAGCGAAATTCGGCAGGCATGAAGCCGCGCTGATGAGCGCCGCCACGAAGCGTGTGCCAGTGCAGGTGTTAGTCGTGAGGACGGCAGCGGTGCGGCGACGGCACAGCGGCTGCTGCATATGCCACATGTTGCCGACGCATGGCATTGATCCCGCACTACTGCATATTTATCGTCATCAGGTAGGCAACGATATTTTATTGAAATAAAATTTTAGATGCAATGTTTTGTAATAAATTATATTGATCAAAAATTAATTAATAAAAATATTTGCTATTTTTGTTTCTATCCATTACGTTATGTGAACACGGCGTTGGCGTTTCATTGCCTCAAGTATCGTTTCCTTACTTCTATCCGCGTCGAAAATACCTCAACCTATACCACCGCCCAGTCAGTCGTCGGCGAACGGTTCAGTTGCTGGCGGTTTGCCATACACGCTGCGGGAAATCACAAAATATAAATAACAATAACAATAACAGTTTTGAGATCACAAAAATGCATTAATTTCGCTAAAATGGAGCACGGCATGGCGTACATACAATGCTCCTCGGCCTCCTCATCACCCACGCATGGCAACACGCTCGCCAGTGGCGACAGCAGTAGCCCATCGAGATCATGCTCCAGTCCAACTGCATGGATACCGCTGGCGCCATGTTGACATCAGCCATGTCTGCGGATACGGAAAGCTGCGCTGAGACGCACTCCGCTACGACGGAGGATTGTGATGAGAATGTGGAAAGGATTAGATAATCCGTTAGATAATACTTCTATCTAAACGCTTGCTGTGTGTCTATGTAATGTAAAATTTGTGTGGCGCAGTGTCAAAAACTACAAATAATATGATAAAATTAACAAAATTTGTGATAGTGAAAGTTTTAATTGGCTTAGTGCATATGTACTTTAGAATTGTAATTAATTGTAGTTGTGTTTAATTTAGTTTTAAAATAAGCATACGTGAAAGAAATAACGCACTAAAAATTAAAGTATATTCAATAACTTCATCTTTTTCTACAATGTAATATATGATGGAATACAAGTGTTGGCACCACACACATATAATGTACTTCAGTTGAGGCATGTTTTAAACATCGTTTGCAGAATTAAACAAATTATATAGGCGTAAATAATACAATTTCAACAAAAATAAAAATCTTAAAAAAATATGTTTATTAAAAATTATTTTTAGAACCCGTAGCTCACAAATTTACCAATCCTCTTATTTTGCATATTCCTTGTTGTTGTTGTTATATCTGCGTACAGATTGATCTGATTTTCGTGTAAGCAGAAATAAAATGGCCGATCTCGTTTCGGTCGTATAAAGAAACTAAGCTTCGTAAATGGATCGTTCTTTAAAGATGAGCATGAGCGCAAAATGTTCGTTTTTATCTTATAGTCTTTATATTAGAGCACAATATTCATGACGTGATTCTTAACTTTTAGAGCCACAACGCTAAGTAAAAATTTGTTGGATTTCAGAAAGTCTTATCATTTTAAAAGGTATTGTTTTCATTAATTAATGAAACCGAATACAATGTACCCTTAACAACTTTATGCAGCCACTCAAGGTGTTATATCCACTTGTAACGCAGAAAAACTTTTTATATTTTTATTTTGAAAAGCATTTTGTCTACTAAATAAATAAAAATAATGCATTTACAGTAAAATTTTAATTTTAAAAATTTGGAATTTTCTGATTTGCAACCGATTTCCAGGAGGACCTCTGAGAAACAAATGAAATCCAAAACCGAAATAAAGTCATTATTATATAGATAAATACGGGTAATAATGAAAGGACTAATGCAATTTTGATTTTGTCAAAACTTTCCAAAAATCGTTTTTGTGAAAAATTTACGTAATAATTAAATTCAAATTATATAAATATAAAAAAATCGAAATTATTATCAAAATATTATTTATTATTTATATTAATTTTTAAGTCGATTGTTCACCACTTCGGAAAATTTCCTCACCGGCTCTTAAAAACATTTCGAGATAACGCGTTTAAAGTTTTGAGAGCCGATTCCAAAGTTAAAAACTTACAATACACCATTTCTTAAAACTATTCAATTTAAAATTTTGGAAAATATTCTTGAATATATGCATTCGATAAATCAAAATAATTTTTGAATCTACAAGAGATATAACGCCTTCAAGTAGAACATGAGTATAAACTAGTACACCCTTCTTTTAAAATATTCGATAGATAGTATGTTCCTAGTATTTAAAATATTTATGTTAAGTTAATAAAAACCGAATATGGTGGAGTTACGGCGCATCAATTATTCAATAATCTTCACTTGGAAAAAGTTAAATCTCATCAGTCCCTTAAGAGTTTCTCACTTGCTAAATCTTTTATCCTTTGAATCAGCTTATCAATTTTGGACCTTGATAACCGAAGAAATTGTATTTATTTCTAATTTCACTTGATTTCATTACATACACAGCTGCCTGAATTACATGTCAAATATATATAAGTTGCACGAAGTTTGTAACACCCAGAAGGAAACGTGGAGACTCTATAAAATATATATATAAATGATCAGCATGATAGCTGAGTTGATTTAGCCATGTCCGTCTGTCTGTCTCCGTCTGTTTGTATATATACAAACTAGTCCCTCAGTTTTAAGCTATCGTCTGAAATTTTGCACTGTTCTTTTCTCGAAAAGCTGCTCATTTGTCGGAACGACCGATATCGGACCACTATAGCATATGCTGCCATAAAACTGAACAATCGGAATGAAGTGCTTGTGAGACTCTTTCATTTGACGAGGAATCTTACGAAATTGGATTATTTTAAGCAATATCTCGCCGAAATTGTTAGATCATGACTATCTTAGCTGCTATACTGAACGATCGAAACTATGAAACTCTTCATGATCTCGAAATTACGATTCTTTAAGGCAACAAATTATTCTCCGGATTGGTCAGATCAGATCACTATATCATATACCTTTTATCACATTCCCATCTTCTTGTAGGCTGAAAATTTGTGGGAAGCATGAATTTCATTGAGTTTATCAGCAATGACAACGTCATCAGTAACAATCAAAACTTCGTTATTAGACTCACATCGTTTAGTACCGCAAATTCTTGCCTGAAATAAGTTAATTTAGTACTGTTTGCGCAAATATGCCACCCAGGCTGAAGAAGCATCATAAGTGTATGTAATGTTGCACTTGTATTTGGCAGAGACGCTGACACAATGAGACACACTTCACGACGACAACAACGCTTAGAATTGTCAAAAAGTCTGTCCAATTATTATTAATTAAGCTATATATTTGTAAATATATTTACAAACGCACACGTATATACTTGTAGGTAAGCACATGTGTGTGAAAAAGTAGCCGAGATGAAAAACTGCTTTAAATTTGTTTAAAACACATTGTCTGACCACTTCAAAGCGCTATGCGTTTTTGTTTTGTGTGTTGTGTATTGTTGAATAGTAGGAGGCCTGTCGACTATTATTGTTGTTTTCTTTAACAATGGCTGTTAGAGGTGCTAACAGTAAACAACGGTAATAATTTATAAGAAACGGAAATTGTGGGTGTGCAAATGAACGCGCGTATAATATATGTACATATACATATACATACATATGTACTTGAGTAAATTGTATTTACATACATATATAATTTAGCACATGTTTGCATTTTATAAACTATAAATTACGGATAAACACTCTTCCATATACATAAGGCTCGCAAATGCACAATTCGCGCAGAAACTTACATTCCTATTTAATCCAAGTACTTGAAGAAATTTGTAGCTTCTGTATTCAAGATTTTCCATTTAAAACCATTAATATACCAATACATATGTGTTATAAATTAATTTCACTTTTAATCGCAATCTGCAATAAAATCTAATCTATTCTACAAAGCTCTAACGATTTGGTCTTGTATTCCGCTATACGCTTATAATTTAGAGGCTTTTGTAATTTTATACCCTGAACAGGATTATTAAGTTTGTCTGAAGTCGAGACCCAATAAAGTGTATATATTATATAAATGATAGCGGATTAAGCCACATCATTGATATACGCGAATCAGTCACTCAATTTTGAGATATCGATGTGAAATTTTGCACACTTTCTTTTTGCGAAAAGCTGCTCATTAGCAATCGCCGATATCGCACAACTGTAGAATTTAGCTGCAATACAAACTCATCGATAAAATTTTCTTTTATGGAAAACTTTTATTTGAAAATATATCTTCACGAAATTTGAGGCAGATTTGTTTCCAAGGCAACGCTACTATCTCTACATAATTTGTTTAAATCGGACCACTATATAGCGTAGAGCTGCCATGCAAACTATCGACTAAAATCAAGAAAAAAATATTTTCACACCCTTTTAGGCTATAAGAAATGCACCTATGAAGGGTGTTACAGCTTCGGTGCAGAATTAGCATTTTATTTTGTTTTTCGATTTCAAAGCCAGAAAAGTTTACTATAATTGCGCTAATACGGTCATAAGTTACGTTAAATTGCCGCATATGCCTTAATATTATATATATCTACACAAGTTTACACACATATTCATCTACATATTTGCATGTGTATGTGCAAGTGCTATGCTTTTGTTTTTGCCTGTTGTAAATTGCAAGCGATTTGCTCAATGCAAGGATGTTCTTATCTGCACACTTGTACATCTACATACATACATACACATTTCATTATTTAGGTACTTGTAGTTGAATTAGAGCAAAGCACTTAATGCGAATAATGGAACCGATGATCGCATCGGACTAAATTATTGCTCATATTGCAGCGTGTAGTGCGTTAAAATAAGCAATCAATCATGACATGAGTGGTTTTATGAGGCAAACAGTCGGTGGAAATTCAACTACAAGTACGGTGTGTGCTCTCAAAGTGGGCGGAGCTGAGCTTTACGAATTAAAAAGTTTGAAAAAAGTCGATTAGAGAATTCTTCCAAATTATTTCTATCCGTTCAATCCGTTTTAGTGTCGCGGCAACTACAATAGTTCGATTTGAGCAACTCAGTAAGTATTCAACTCTTTGAATTTTATTTTGTATACTCTTGAAATATATGATAATAAAAACATGATAATGGGTAAAAACTAATATAAGGTAGTATATTTATATAAAGGATGAGAGTGATGAGCTGACTCGATTTAGCCATGGCCGCTTGTTCGTCCGTCTGTCTGTACATACGCGAACTAGTCGAAAAGTTTTTGAGATATCGATCTGAAATTCTCTACACGTGTTTTTGGATATAACTGACTGCTATTGGATATAACTGATGAATGAATGATGAAAAACAATAGTATTATTAATATTTATATCCTGATTATTTAAATTTTATTGCATACACACAAAAACAATAAGTTTAATACAAATATTTTCATTTTTTTTTTGTTTAATTTCCTCATTTTGTATTTGCATTACTTCTGGCTAAGTGGCTTCGATTATAATTTGCATTAAAATTTTTAATTAGTTCAATCATAAGCTACGCAAACCACATAACGGCATGTTGTTCTTAAGTAATGATTGGCTTACAATTGAAAATCTACGATTGCAAATCGAAATGCTTTAAACATGTTGTAATCAAAAAAGTGAACAAAATGTTGCATGACTACAATGGAAGCAGAACGCTTATAATATGTATGTTTGCACAGTTGCATGTGTATGTGCGTACAAGTATTTGCAATTGATGGATCTGCTCGATGTCTTAAGTGTTTGGGTCAAGGTTATGAAGTACCACTTAAGTGCACAGTGGCGTAATGTAT